AGCAAAGTGCTTTATTTAAAGTAGATTTTAATAACATAATAAAGGTTAACATAAATGCAATAATTAAATAAATATCGATATATAATATTCAGGTAGTATTAAAAAAAATAATTAGGATACACTTCATTTTACAATTTTAACCAATTTTTAATTGACGGATTATTGACTCACCCCTTTCGACCTAGTGAAAGCTTTTTTTAATTTTTACGAATTATACGGTGCTTACTGCTAAAAAAAAAAAAAAATAGTCATATTAAACTATTTATTTATACGTACTTACCGGTAAAATTATTCGTCCCAAATCTCAATTTTATTAGATTTTTGGATTGTGATTTAGGATTCGGGACAATTATATTATGTTTAGGATTTGGGTTTGGGACAATTATATTTTGTTTAGAATTTAGGTTTGGGACAATTATATTTTGTTTAGAATTTAGGTTTGGGACAATTATATTTTGTTTGGATTTGGATTTGGGAGGTATTTGAGAGTTTATAGTTTGAACGGCATGTATATGTACGTACGATATTGTACAATAATAAGATATGGGAATGATTGGAATCAAACTTTGTCAATTAATAATAAAGCAATACGCAATAATTAGACATGATTAATAAATCTATACTATTAACTATTTTGCTATTTAATAATCAAAATGATCAAATTTAACTTCCTTTGTAAAGTTTGAAATAAACGCAGCTTGATTTAGAGTTAGATAATCCATCTCAAGTGTTCTATATACGTGAAAAATCTCAATAACACATTACGTCCGTCGATTTTACCTTTATCTGTAACTAAGAAAGGCCCAGTCATAGTTCACCGAATCAAAATCTACTGAAAATTTCACGAAGAGTATAGATAGTTCATTTAGACGACATCGTGCCAAGTGACAATTTACTAAACATATATATACCTGCAAATAATCAAATGCTAATTCTAACCCTATATGATTTCGTGAGCTTGTTAAGTATTATAAAATTGCCTGTAATTTTGCATGCGCCAATTCGATTTAATGAAAATACCCGATCACTATAACAAGATCACGGGGTATTTTTATTACTCCGGATATATAATTACACGGATTTGAAAAAAAAACCACCAAGAAACTGATCTTTAATTATTAATAAATCATACTTCTTGTAAATGACTACTTAGAAAAACATGGTTTGGCTTGATTGACTTAATAGTGTCGATTGTATCAAGTCAAGATCTTAATCAAGATCTTGTTCAACGAGCTTACATACATATGTAACATCGTAAAAAAGAATGATTATATATAATGGTCAATTTTAAATGAAGGTATTATTGGTAAAGGTTAGCTTGACTTTACCATTAAACAGGGCGAGGAAATTATTTGCGTTGTCAAGGCCAAAACAAATAATTTTGAACATGGGTTCACACAGAACCTTGTTCAATTGCAAAGTGCATGCGAGGTAAAACTTTTTTAAAAAAAGAATAACAATAGTACTATTTTTCAATGTTAATAAAGTAATTTCATAATATCATCGAAAATCAGGCCGAATCAATTAGAATAAACTTACAACAATTGAGGAAAATCGTAATTTCTATGCTCGCAAAAAATCAACTTAAGCACCTCTCATTAGATCAAGGGATGCCTGATCCGGGGTAGAAATACATATAACTTTATTTTTAACTATATTATATTTTACTTTATTACACGTAAGTTGTTTTTTAAAACAGTCCGTTTTCATCGCGAAATTCCAACCATAAAATTAAAACCCATCACTTCACTTTCTTTCGGTGTATTTATTTGACAGAAAATAATATTTAAATGGATCAAAGAACATCATCTTGTTATAATATTGAAGAACCGCATAAAAGAAATATTATGGAATAGCAATAATCAGATAATCATATCTAGAGATGGGCAAATCGCGGTTTTTTCAAAAATCCCGCGCGGGATAGGATTACCAATTTACATTTTTTAATTTTTGCATTTAATAAAAAAAAAACCGTACAGAATTTATTATTGAAAAATTAATTTTCTTGTTCGAATTAGTTATTTCTTATAAGTCATTTATTATAAATAAATTAATTAGAAATTTCCTAGATAGTTAATGCAGGCCAGATATTATATTAATGCCGGCCAGATAGTTTGGTAATGCCGGCCGGATAATTTTATTTGGGATCATATTAAAAATCCTGCGCGTGCCCATCTCTAATCATATCTAAATGAAAAAATCATCGAAATTATTATATTTATATACTATGTGTAGATAAGTGAGGACGAGATTGTTGACTGTCATAATCGTTTGTATGATGAAAAGTTACCGAATTTCCAAGTTAAAGAATAGTGTTTCTATTTCGCGAGAGATATATTCTTTCCTCATATTCATACCGGGAGTTTCTGTCAAATACTTTAAAAAAAAAAAATCAAGATTATATAACATGCTTCCTAAAAATACATCGTAGAAGTGAGGAAAAAGACATTGAAAATGAAGATGAAAATGAAGATATAAATGAAGAAGGATACTATGGAAACTAAAATTATAATTAAAAATATGAAGAGAAGAACGAAAAACGGACATTAAGGGCGAAAAGAAGGTCTGAAAATTTATATCTGAGGTTATTAATTCGAAGGCAGGGATTAGTAAAAAAAAAACTTTACCGAATTAACCAATTTATTATATAATGAAATTGGTTACATAATGATGTCGTAATTTTCTACGTAAAACTCTTTTATGCACACGAAATCCACAGAGTTAGACTTCTTCTGATAATTTTGTAAACGAGCAAAGGTAAAGAAGTAGATGAACATGGGATATATGCATATCACTTTTAGTTCCAACAAAGAAAACAAATTACCTTTTAATCGACTATGACTAATAAGCTAGAAAAACAATGCTTTTCAACTACATAAAATTTTTATTGAGAATTCGAATATGTAATTTATGATGAAATTGAAATTCCTCAAGCATCATCTTCAATGTAATTAATTAATGATCGTAATGGTCTCATTCAATAGAATCAATTGAAATAAACATTGCAATCGATGTTTGAGCGGTTCTTTTATTATTCGTCAAAAAAAACAAAACCAGCTATTAAACAAGAAGCAAATGCTGTGAATTATCGAAAATATTCTGGCGAATCATCAACTTCAGCAACCCCTGTTGCTCCGTTTACTGACTTCACCAATTATAATATGTTATTCCAACAACAATATCCCGCCTTTCCATTTTTTATGAAACCATTAGTTGTAAATAAAGCTGCTTGCTGTTGAATACAAAGAGGTGTTATTCGCATATTTATTTAAAATATAATAATTTAATAATAATAATTTTTTTTTTTTTTGTCAAAAGCGTCAAATAATTTAGAAACAGTTTCTAATGATGATTCAGCTTTGGATACGGATTCTACCTCTCCTGAAGTATTAAACAACAAACCATATTGTTTTTTGAGCCTCCTGGTTTTTTTTTATCGTTCATAAAACGTTTAGTGCGAGAAGTAAAATAATAATTCGTTGCTGAATGTGATGATCCATGGCAATGTTACTTGTGTGGTCTTTTTGAAAACTCAATTGATTGTAAAATTTTCAAGACAGGTATAAAAAAAAGGTGGTTTGTTGTAAAAAGTTGATTTAAATGACACATTCATTTCAGTCTTTTTTATTAATAATAAAAATGTCATATTTACGTAATAAGCTTTATCAATTTATGCATATTTATTTCCCGACGCTTTTTGCCCCATTGATTAAGACGCTTGGGAACACCCATAGAATATAATGTTATTAAAAAAAGTTGTCTGTGTTTATTGAAATGGTAAAGCTTATGGCTTAATCGGTAATCAATTATATATTTATAAGGATACTTGAGTTAATTACAATAGCATGGTGGATTCATTGACTCTTCCTACAAATACCAAAACTGCATGCTGCCTCGAGCAGGTTCTTCAGAAAGCATTATTTTAGCTTCATTTATCATGGATATCGAAAAATCTGGAGGCTTTACCGGGCTGGTATCGCCTTGATTCTTTCCGAAAGTGATGCAGGTTTACGTCTTTACCATACTTTGTGATACGTTTAATTTTACTCACTAATAAACCACTCGAAGATCAATTTTCGGTTCTTCGTTTTACCCAAGTTTTTTCAAAGCTTGTTACCATAATTTT